AGAGTAAGGTAAAAGAAAAAGAAAGTAGGAAATAGAGGAAGAAAAAAAAAGTACTACAAGAAAAAGAGGGGGGGAATTAGAAATCACGTTGCAGAATAAGAAGTTGGGTTTAAAATGGAAAAGCACATGGCCCGCTTGCGCACTTCAAGAAGGCTTAACATAGGCAGAGGTGGAGGAGCCTGGTGGCTTTCTGTCCTAGGTGAGGGATGAAGAGACAAATTAATAAGAGAAAGGCACAAACAGGGAGGAAAGTTGTTTTTTTGTTTGTTTGTTTTTTCAAAGAAAAAAAGTTAGAAGGGACAGAGAAGAACCAGAGGGATACACTTGTGTACCTGACTAGCACTGTGATCCGGGGAGAAGCCCCTCGCTGGGAGAGGCTTCATAGACGTCAAGCTGAGCCCAGAGGCCCTACACAGGCAGAGGTGGAGGAGCCTGGTGGCTTTCTGTCCTGACTAGCCCTGGGGACTGGGGGGAGCCCTGGCTGGGGGGGCACTTCACAGCCCCCAAGTGGAGTTTTTAATTTTAGTACATCAGATATGTGGAACTTGGACTTTTCTTTTTGGGCTTCTGAGTGCATTCAATTTTGTGTGTGTGTGTGTGTGTGTGTGTGTGTGTGTGTGTGTGTGTGTGTATAATTTGCTGTAGGGTACCTGTGTTCAACAATATGAAATAGAGAAAAAGAGAGAAGAGAAAGAGAAGGAAAGTGAGAAAGCACTCCACAGGGTGGATGGGCACATAGCAGTCCCCTCCTCCATTCTTTTCAGGATTATGGGTATATGAATACCTATATGTCTTCTAAGACACAGGGTCTGGGATTGGAAGTATGTAGTCGACCTTGTCGGATTCAGCTGCCTTAGTCCCCGTGCCACCAGCTGGCCCCTGCACTTGAATATGTAGTAATATTATTTCTGTTTGTTGCTCTAGTTTGTTTGTTTGTTTGTTTGTTTGTTTTTTCAGTTTCATATACATTGGACTTCGATATTTCAGTTTCTTGTTTTGTTTTGTTTTTATTAGGTTTTTCTATAAGGCCCATGTGTCTGCCAGACTGAGGCAGAGAGAGGGCAAGTGAGAAATCACTCTCCAGGAAGGGTGGGCATACCACAATCCCTTTTCCTCCATTCTTCTCTTAGGAGTTTGGGAATGCAGGAATATGGTGCATGGCATGATTTTCAAGCCTCCAGGTCTGAGACTCGAATCATTGTTGACCATGTGGGAGGCCAGCACCTTAACCACCACAGTATGTGCTGGCCCCTCCAATTAAATTTTTAATCATATTTCTTAATTAGAGCTTTAGGTCTTTTGTTTAATTTTTGGAGTTCCTTTCATTTGTAAATAAAAGGATGACTTATTTATACATTGTTTCTATTTTTTTTTATCTTTTCAACCTTTGTATCCTTGTTAGAAATTTCTAAATCTAGTCAATATTTAAATTTATAGGCTATACCTGAGATTTAGTTGATTCAGAGACATTGAATCTTGCTCAAATCTTGTCTTAATATTCTTTTTTATCTTTTTCATTCGTCTTTGGATAACCTCTCCCCCATAGAGATCTCACTGCAAAGAAAAAGTTAATCCTTTGGATGGAAAAGGATAATACCCGAATAGATTATTTACTGAACAGTATGAAAACCAGTATTTACTCTTGAATAATTTTCTCATCATTAGCTCTCTTGAGGTATAAGTAAGAAAAGAGTATACCTTTAAAAGATTTAACAGAAATTTATAATTTAGTATGATACACATTTGGAGAAAGAATCAGGGCCAGTAAAGTGAAGGATAATGAAAAGGGAATTAAATACTTAAATAATTTAATGCAAGGTGAATTTTTTTGTGCATTTTTGAGTTTTGTTTGTTTGTCATTTTGGGGATGTTGTTTTGATTGTTAGCCACCAGGTTCAGACAGCTCTGAAAGGGATCTGAGAACTAGTTTAATTCAAGCCATCATTTTTCAGGTAAGGAAATTAGAATTTAGGAGAGTCTAATGTCCAGTCACAGGCTGGAGCACATTAGACCTGATTGGGGTGTGACTGGTTTACAGTGCTAGTTAAAATATGTCAAGTGACAGACCAACAGGTGACAGAGTGGTTTAGGTGCTGGACTCCCACATACTCCACTGCTGTTTCAACCTTGGACCTAAATGCTTGAAAATTACACCAGGCATGTGCATGTACATCCCCAAAATCCTGAGAGGAGAATTGAGGAGAAGGGATCGTGGTGTAGCCATCACTCCTGAGAGTGGTTTCTCACTTTCTCTCTTTCTGATGAGTGCACATGTCCTATAGCAAAACTTAAAAGTAAATATATAAATAAATAATAGGTCAAGTTACAAAGGAATCAGCCCATACTATAGTTTTTTTTTTTAAAAAAAAACTGCAACATACTATGTTTAACTCTTCAAAATAATTGTTTTAGAAAACTTGAGTAAATAAATTTTTTGTACAAATATACTATATTTAGAGAGTAATTTTGTCTTCTGTCTGATAAGATATTTCTGCTCATCTTGTTTCCCCAGATCCCTTAGCAGAAAAAAATGGTGTTTATTGCTTGCATTTATTTTGCTACTTTTTAATATCTTGAAGTTTTATATGTCCAAATGTTCACATCACTGTAAGTTGAAATAAAATAATATATGGATAATAATGAAAATAATAGACTTCTAAGGAAAATGGCTGCATAAGCAGATGTTTTGTTAAAAGTTAAGCCTCTTTTCAGTTTAGTGAACAAAAAGAACCAAAGATAGAAAAGCAAATGGCACCTTTACTAAAACTAAAAAGCCCCCACCCTTATACTATTAGCTCTATCTTTCTCATTACCAGGTTGAAATTTTATTTTATTGTTAAACATCGTTATTAAAAAACAAAACAAAACAAAAAGACCAGTTCTGTATATATTACCTTGCCTTCTGCTACTTTATTTCTGCAGAATAGATTCTCAGGTGTAGAATTGCAAGATCCAAGTATGTATGTGTATGTGCATATACACACACAGGAGGGAACTTCAGAAAGTGTGAAATGGAATTAAGTGTGAGTTTATTTAGGCACAAAAGATTTTAAATCCATGCGTTATTATTATTATTATTATTATTTTTTGGAGAGGTTTTTGCTATAGGGCATGTGCACTCGCCAGACAGACAGAGAGAGACATAGAGACAGAAAGCGAGAAATCACCCCCCAGAGGGGATGGTCACGCTGCAATCCCTTCTCCTCCATTCTCCTCTCGGGATCTTGGGCACGCACGCACACGCGCCTGGTGTGAGTTTTAAGCCACCGGGTCCGGGATGTGAACCACGGTCGACTATGTGGGAGTCCAGCGACATAGCCATTACGCTAACTGCTGGTTCCCTATGCATCATTTTTTCAGAGTATGTATTTTATATGAACTTTTTGAAGCCCCCTCATATGTGTGTGTATACACATATATGTACATACAGATACACGTGTATACCTATATATGTATACAGATATTATAATTTAAATAAATATTATTGGATTACTTCTTTAGGAAGTCAGCCCCAGTGAACAACATATGTATTTGACTGCTTATTTTGCCTTCTGGGTTTTCCTCACTTTAGTCCTAAATCAAGTTATATCAACAAAACAGAATACCTAGACTTCATGGTATATTATATAAAAATGTAATGACTATTATTTATTGAGCTCTCATATGCTGAATATTCAACTAAAGTGCTTATCTTATATCATTAGATCATTTTAGCTGTAGAGGACAAAGGCAAATTCATAAAACTCCTTTTTATTAAAATAATACATTTAAATAGACTTTAAATAGAATTTCAGAATTCTTTGAGACAGTTGAGATTACCAGCGTTAAGGAAAAAAATAGCCTTTTTCTATAAACTCTAGGTAAAGAGTTCACTTTTTTTGTATTTAGTGAAATGAGACTTGATGAACATAATTTATAAGAAAGATGTCTGCTGGGGCCAGCAGGTAGTATGATGGGTAAGGTGCTAGAATCCCATATGACTGGCTACAGTTCAAGCCCCAGACCTGGCTGCTTAAAAATCACACCGGATATGTTCGCATGTGTGCCCAAAACCCTGAGAGGAGAATAAAGGAGAAAGGTTGCAGCATGGCCATCCCCTATGGGGAATGCTTTTACACTTTCTCTCTCTCTGGCAAACACGCACTCCCTATGGCAAAAACCTGAAAAAGAAAGGAAGAGAAAAGAAAAGAAAGGTTAAGTATCTGCTGTGAACTTTGCCATCAGACAGCCACATATGTCAGAATTCATTAGTGACTGTTGCTAACCCAACTTGCCCTTTAAATATTAGGTCCATACAACTATTGATAACAACTATGTCTTACCCATATTGATAAAGAGGGGGAAAAAAGATTCTGTAGGAATATGGACATACTCATCAGAGCAGTGCTAACACTGAAGATTAACAGCGACATCAGAATATGAGCACTACTCTCTCCATCCTACAATTCTGCAGCCCATCAGATCTTAAGCACTCACATGCTTGCCTGTCATGTTTCAGACCAACGGGGCTGGGGACATGAACTGGTGTGGCCATGTGGGATCAGACTTCTCTTGAGTAGCACATCACTGCTGTATCATACAACCAGCCCTATGTTCTGGAGTTTTAATATTGATATAAACTATTGCAATAAAACAAAAGATTGGACCCACGATAGCTAAACAAATAAATAAAGATGCTTAGAAGTGGTCTGGCTATAATAAACTGCTTACACTAGGGCTATTTAGAAATAATACTTCAAACTTGACTCCAGAGAAAACCTCTAAAATATATTTGCCATTTTGGAGATGGGATAACTATTGGAGATTACTAAGCCAGGTTTTTGGAAAGTGAAAACCTGTAATTGATATATCACTATCTGGATTTAGAAGAATGCAGTTCATTCAAATGTGGTGACATTTGCTTTCCTTTTTTAAAAGCTTGCTCAAGAGTATGTGTGCTTTCCAGAGAGAAAGCTCTCCTCGATGGGTGTAGTCAGACCGCAGTCCCTTCTTCGTTTCTCTACCCTACTCGAATGTGGGTATGTGTCTACACACCCATACCTAGCATGTTTTTCAAGGCACTGGCTCCAGGACTTGAACTGCAGTTGGCGATGTGGAATCTGACTCTTTTAACCAATGCAGGTTACTGCATCAGTCCAGCATTTTCTTAGTTCATTAAGATAGTATGGTAGGGACCAGCAGTTTGCTTAATGGCTGTGTCACTGGACTCCCATGTAGTCGACTGTGGCTCGAGTCCCAGACCTGGTGGCTTAAACTCATGCCAGACACGCGTGTGTGCTTGCCCAAAGTCTCAAGAGGAGAATGGAGGGAAAGGGATTATGGCGTGGTCATTGTCCCTGGGAGGTGATTTCTTACTTTCTGTCTTTCTGGCGAGTGCACGCGCCCTATAGCAAAAACCTCTCAAAAAAGAAAAGGTAATATTGAAATTATTATAGATGTGATAGATGATGAGGCCATTTAAAAACTAAAAACATAACACGTTCATTCTCCTAAGGTTGTAGCCACACACGTTTATCTGAAATTAGTATATTCAAACCACTGTTAAATTTTTAGATATAAGAATACTTTTATTTGGATTTGCTATACTTAACATTAAACTTATTTTATAAATTGGTATTTTTGATTGTTTTTATCTACTCCATATTTTGTCTTTGAGAAGTGTATAATTCTAAGTTTCACATCTTTAAAAGAATGCAAAAAGTTTAAATATACTTCTTTTGAATGATTAATTCCATTATCTACTAGTGTACTAATAATTAGCATTTTTTCCCCTTTCTTAGATATGGAGTCTGGAGAACGGTTACCATCTTCAACTGCTTCCTCTACTACACCAACTTCATCTACACCTTCTGTGGCTTCAGCAGTTTCAAAAGGCGGCCTTTCCACTGGAGCTGCTTCACTTAGCTCTACAATCAACCCATGTGGTGAATATCCTTTATTAACTCAATTTCAGAATGTCATCCTTTTAATAATTTGCATTCTTTTTCTTGTAAGAATTATTTATTTAATTTTATTTATTGTTATTATTTATTTAATTTGACCAGAGAGAGACACAGAGAGAAAGAGGGCGGAAAGTGGAAAAGCAAGCTACCAGGTCCAGGACTCAAACTGTGGTTGGCCATGTGGGAGTCTAATGCCTCAACCACCACGCCACCTGCAAGCCCCAATAATTTGCCTTTTTAGGGCTTATTGAGCTCTGAATACAATGCTCTTCTGATCACCATTTTAGTTTAAACATTTGGTCTCTCTGCTTTTTCTGAATTTTACACTGGAGTAGTACTAGCTATTCCAGATGGAAACTCTCTTTGACAGTTCAGCCTTATTTTGTTTTCATGTCATTAATAAATTATTAAATGTGAAGTATTTAAAACAATAGGAGCATAAAGGAGTGAAGAAACATGTAAGAGTCTTCGGTGGTAAGATTAGGTTCTAGTGCAATGTCCTGAATTTGCTTCTAGTGTTTGAAATAATTGTCACAAACTCCAAGTACACCAGTTCACAGATGTGTGAACTAAGCAGATAATTTAGTTGGTGGAAAATAGGTTAAACAGTTTAGCATATGATAAGTTTTTTTTAAAATATGAACAAAGTTTATATTATAAAAAGGAGATATTTATTTCAGAAGTGAAAATATTCTCAATTTTGATTAATTGTGTACTCTCCCAAAATGTACCTTTATCTACCCCCACACAATAATTCTTTGCCCTTATACAGGATTACTAGAATGCATTCTTCTTCTTAAAAGTCCTAAATTTGATTACCTTATTTCTTTATAGGTCAGAAGCATTTTAACCTTAAAGATTTTTTATCTAGTAGATTATTTAAAGTCTATAAGCAACAGAATAGGAATTTAAAAATTAGATTTGTGATTTTGCATAAATGCAACACATAAATATGAAATATTTGCTTATAGAATGTCTTAGTAAGTTGTCAAATACATATTTTAAATTATTTTTTGATAGGGCACGTGTGCTCACCAGAAAGACAGAGAGAGACAGAGACAGAAAATGAGAAATCACCCTCCCCCCAGGGGGCATGGCCGTGCTTCAATCCCTTCTCTATTCTCCTCTTGGGATCTTGGGCACGCACGCACACGCGCATGGCATGAATTTAAGCCATAGGGTCCAGGACTCAAACCACAGTCGACCACGTGGGAGTCCAGTGACATAGCCATTACACCAACTGCTGATCCCAATATTTTCAATTATTTTTATTTTTCTAAGAAACGGAATGACAAAGCTATTGTTTTGTCATTGTATTATCATGGAAGAGTTTTATAAAAGTGATTTTAGTGATTGTGAAATAAATAAAGAGTGTTGCAATTTTCTTTCTTTTTAACATTTATTTATTTATTTTCCGTTCACCAGAGAGGGACAGAGGGAGAGAGAGAGAGAGAGGGAAAGTGAGAAAGCAAGTCGCCAGGTCCAGGACTTGGGCCACAGTCATCCATGTGGGAGTCCAGTGCTCTTTACCACTACGCCACCTGCTAGCCCCACTTTCTTTTTCTGTTTTCTTTCTTTCTTCTTTTTTTTGGGGGGGGCGGAGTGATTTTTGCTATAGGGTGCACAAGCTTGCTAGAGAGACAGAGATTTTGGGCACCCATATACATGCGCCCTGCATGTGCTTTAATCCACCAAGTCCAGGACTCAAACCACGGTCAACTACGTGGGAGTCCAGTGTCATAGCCATTATACCATCTGCTGGTCGCAAGAGTGTTACATTTTAAAAATCAGTATAATCCCTCTTCTGTATCTTTTGTAAATGTCATCAAGAAATTTAACTTCATTCACTTTTCCCTTATATGTAAAACAATGGCCCTTGATGATACTCTGTGCTCAAACTGTGATGCCAAAATTGGCTTCTGCCTTAGATAACTTTGGATTCATGATTTCATACAGTTGTACTTTTGTAATTATTCTTTCCTGTTTTTATACCTCTTCTTTCTCTTTTATTTCTTGTCAGCTCATTTTAATGTCTTCTGATCTGTTCTTATTTTGTATTTATTTTTGAATCAATCTTTAACTTACATAATGTTTCTAGAGAAATGTCTTTTTTTTTTAATGCAGAAGGTTTCAATAGCATTGTTGAATACAGAATATTGAGTTTTTTGGATTTTTTTTTCTCACTTAGTTTTCTGAATTAATGACACTGAAATTGCTTAAAATTCTATTGGGCTCTTCTTTGTTAGGGGTGGTGGAAATTGCAGAAGAGATGGGATATGCTGAGTTGCTGAATAGCATCAGAAATCTTACCTAGAAAGGGATTAGTTTTTATCATTTGTGAATTAAAAAGGGCGTAGTATCTTTATATTGAGCTGCTTACAAGGAAAGTGTGGTATATTTCTCTTTACTCAGAAATATATCATTTATTAACACATTTTCTGATGCCTAGAGAATGAATTTTTTTTTTTCTTGGAGAAGTTTTTGCAGTAGGGCACGTGTGCTTGCTAAAAAGACAGAGAGACAGAAAGAGAGAAATCACCCCCCAGCAGGATGGCCACGTCACAATCCCTTTTCCTCCATTCTCCTCTCTGATCTTGGGCACGCACGCACACGCATCCGGCATGAGTTTAAGCCACTGGGTCCGGGAGTCAAACCGTGGTTGACTACATGGGAGTCCGGTGACATAGCCATTATGCTAACTGCTGGTCCCAGAATGAATTTTTTTTAACTTTCTAAATATAATGAGTTTTTAACTTTCATTGTTGTGGTTCATGTTTAAAATAAACTCTTTCATTATGTTACAACATTTAAGGGCTCAGTTATGCTGCACAACTGTTTTTTTGTATTTTTCTTTCTTATCTAGTTTGAACTATTATTTTTGCCTCACATATTATCTAAAAATTTTTTCTTTTTTTAAACAATTACTTAATTTTATTTACATATATATACACATTATTGTATATCAATTTTGTATATATTGTATATAAATTTATTTTAATTTGACCAGAGAGCGATATGGGGGGTGGGGTAGACAGTGAGAAAGCAAGCCACCAGGACCAGGACTCAAACTGTGGTGGTAGTAGTGTCATGGCCATGTGGTAGTGTCCAGTGCCTAAACCACCATTCCACCTGCTGGCCCTCTAATTCTCTCCATTTTAAGATAGAATGGAGCAATTATATATCTGACAACTTTATCTTAAATAATTTGATATCAGGGTTTTAGATAGATAGATAAATAGATAGATAGATAGATAGATAGATAGATAGATAGATAGATAGATAGATAACAAATCTTGATTCATTCATCATTCAATTGCCAAAGGGTACCTGAGTGAGCAAGAGAGAAAGAGGAAAGAGAGAGAGAGAGAGGAAGCACTCCCTTGGTCTGGTCATACAGCAATCCTTTTTTCTTTACTTCTGTATCCCATTAGTATCCTGAGCTTATAGGATGTGTGCCTTTTGTGGAGTTGACAGGGTTAGGATTTGAATCCTGGTCCACTATGTAGAATTCTGGCTTCCATGGTGCAGGTAGAAACAAAATTTTGATCTTAAAAATGTCAAAACCTTAAAGTGCCTTTGGAAATCATTCTGTTGTTTTAAGTACTTAATCTCTTTTTTAAAAAAATTATTTATTTATTTTTATTCATTCATTAATTTTAATTTGACCAGAGAGAGACACAAAGAGAGTGAGAGAGGGAAAGGAAGAAAGCAAGCTGCCAGGTTTGGGACTCAAACCGTGGCTGGCCATGTGGGAGTCCAGCACCTTAACCACCACGCCCCCTGCTGGTCCCAGTACTTAATTTCTTTTTTAAAAATCTTTTTTATTTTATTTTTAAATAATGTTTGCTAAAGTCCTGTGCACTCACCAGAGTGAGATACAGAAACAAAGTCAGAAATCACCCCGTAGAAGAGATGGTCACACCACAATCCCTTCTCTCCGTTCTCCATTCCAGGCACACATGCGCTTGGAGTGTTTCTCAGTCTGTGGGATCCGGTACTCAAATCACTAAGTCAGCCATGTGAGATACAGCCACCTAAACTTCTGCCTACATGCTGACCTGTTTTTGTATTATTTTATTTTATTTTTAGTTTTGCTACAAGGCACATGAGCTCACCAGAGAGAAACAAAGAAAGAGAGAGAGAAAGAAAGGGAAAGTGAGAAATCACCCCCACCAAACACACAAGGTGGAGATGTTTATGCCACAATCCCTTCTCCATGTGGGATTTTAGGCACATATACACAGGTGCCTGGCCTGATTTTCAAGCTGCTGGATCTGGAACTCAACCTCAAAATTTCCCACGTGGGATCTAGTGCCTTAACCTCCATGCCTCTTGCTAGCTCAGAACAGTTTTCTTTTAAAGAATTATTTCTCTGTCATTTATATGATATCTGTAGGAATTCCTCTGAGTTATAAGAGATGTAATTCAAATTTGCTGTCAAACTTCGAGTGATCAAATGCTATCTGCTAAATCAATACGTTGTTAAGATCTGAGATTTTACCTACTTGGGACTTAGCCTGTTATAGCTATGAATGGTGGAGGAAGACATGAGACTCCTGGATCAGAGATTTTGTGCTGGGATTGGTTCCCCTTGCCAAACCTCATGAGACAATGTGGAAAGGTTTAGTTGAATTTAGCATACACTCAGTTTGTGTCACAGCGAGGAACATTGAGCTTGGCAAGTCTGCTGCTTTTATAGAAATGCAAACAAATCTACTCTTTTTCTGGGGGAAGATGTCACCTCATCTTTGGGAGGTTTTGCACTGGAAATGCAAGCTTGAAAAATAGCCCATCCAAGAGTATCAGTCAAAGCCTTGTATTCTTGGCATAGCCAACAATAACATACAGGGACTCAGCCCTTGGAAGATTGCCTCTTAAAATATACCTTCAGCTTATTACACTAACTTGAATAGAAAATAACACTCATAAACACTGCTTAAGGCTACAGCTATATGGGTTTTGTTGGTCTTATCAGAAGAGTA